GGGGCTGGGTTTGGCCACCTCCAGCATATGGGGCCGGCGCCCTACTCCTTTGAGCCACAGGTGCCGCCGGCAAATCCACGCTTTTAAAACACAAAAATGCCGCAGAAAATGATTACAAGATTTCTAAAAACGTATTACTTCACACAGCACAACAGACCTGTGGTCTGGGGGGGACACGAGTTCAGCACTGACTGTGAAATGTGGCCTTGTCCTCCGACCTCTGTGGTTGTATGTAAGCCTCATTGACAAGAATATCAACGATCCATGTCTTAGGCCCATCAAATGGACCTTTCTCTAAGAATAGTTTTTAATTTATTTTTTATGTGCATGTTGTGAGGGACCATGTGATATTTTGATACATTCCTATAATATGTAAAAATCAAATCAAGGTAGTTAGGATATCCATCACCTTCAACATTTATCTTTGTTGATGCCAGGAACACTGGAATTATTCTCTTCTAGCTTTTGAAATGTACAATAGATTATTGTTGGCTATGGTCACCCCATGTTTGATAGGACTCTAGACTTCATTTCTTCTACCTTTCTGTATATTTTCCCCCATTAATCTAAATGGCCCTTTTATCACACCCCACCCATCCCATCCACAGTTCCAGCATTTTCTCCCCAGCATATTATTAATAGTTAGGTCCGCTCGTGGCCTGTGCCTCCAACACAGAATTTCCTGACTACAGCACTAGTGACATTTTAGACCAGATAATTCTTTGTGATAGGGGCTGTCCATGCATTGTAGGATATTTACAGCATCCCTGGTCTCTACCCACCAGATGCCAGTAGCAAGTGCTGGCCCCTCAGTCATGGCAATTAAAAATATCTACGGATATTGCCAGATGTCCCCATGGGGGAAAATCATCACTGGTTGTGAACCAGCGCCTTAACTTAAACACAGCCTTCTTGGTAACAAGATCCAGTATTATACAACTTCATACCACCTTGCACCCAGGCACGGTGCTTTGTACACAGCTGACACAGATGTTATTTAATAAACTTGTGCCAGATATGGCAACAGAAATACGTCATCAGATAAGAGAGTGCAGCCAGCAGCAGGCTTCCTCGTCAGAAGCTTCATTCTCAGAAATAGAGTTACTAGGAGCCTGGATGGAAAAGAGAGTTACTGGAGACTGGACCATTTATTCAGTGCCCTCTGTTTCTCAGGCGCTGTGCTGAATGATCTGCATAAGTTATTTCACTTTACTCCACCCAGCAATTCTATGACAGATTAGTAAATGGAGGCATGAGGGTCTCAGACATTTGCCTGGAAGACAAGGAATTTGAACCCAGGTCTTCAGTAGCTAGAGCTCTGCTTAACTACACCTCCCTTGAGCAAGGCAATGGCTTGTTGGAAGTCAGGTGTTTCCCACAGAGTTTTTCTAAAAATAGTTGCTTAACCCCCCAAACATCAAAAGTTGACAAAGGTCCATCACTTAGGGCAGAAATAGAACTCAATGTTATTCCAGAGCCAGGTGTGGAGGCTCATGCCTGCAATCCGAGCACTCTGGGATGCCTAAGTGAGTGAACTCTTGGGAGTTCAAGACCAGACTGAGCAAGAGCGAGACCCTGTCTCTACTAACTGGGTGTTATGGCAGGCACCTGTAGTTCCAGCTACTCGGAAGGCTAAGGCAAGAGGATCACTTGAGCCCACAAGTTTGAGGTTGCTGTGAGCTATGAGGCCACGGCCCTCTACCCAGGGCAACAGAGTGAGACTCTGTCTCAATAATAATAATAATAATACATATGTCCTGCCTTCTCAAAGCATGCTTAATGTAAAAGTGTTCTAATATTATTGATCATTTATTAACATGCCAAGCAGTCTTCCAAGCTTTTTATATGCATCATGTCGTTTGTTCCCAGAAAAATATTTGTTGTTTCAAGGTCATTGTGATGAAGATGAACTGTTGTATTTCAAAGACCTGAATTCCAGCCCCAGCGCTGACATCCAGTTTTCCTAGGGGAAAAAAAATGGCTGGAATTGTACATACCTCTTCTACCACAATGCTTTGCTGGTGCATGATGGGTGATCATGCATATACAATAAATAGTAAAAGTCCTTTGAACATGGTAAAGTTCCAGACAAGGTCAGAGATACTCTGTTTTCCTGGGAGAACCCACTAAAGCAACTCCCCATTATGAGGAAGGAAAGTGATGTTTCCATTAGCACGCCTCTCTTCTCCAAGTGAGATTCCCGGGCCTCCTATTGGTTGACAATGCAACTTCCCACAGGACTCCTGTGGCCACATAAAAAAATATTATTGCACCAATTCTGCTCAATGTTGCTCCTCAAAGGTATGGACAGAGTGGCTCTTGCCACTCTCACATGACATTAAGTTGATATTCAGCAATACAGTAAAAATCAAAATGTAAAAACCATAGTACATAATAGAAAATAGTGATTATTTCATTCCTACTACATACAGATTAAAAAGAAAAGACAAATCTTCCTATTAGAAGAGATCAGTACCATGGCAATGGGGCTACAATTTGCAAAGATGTTAGAGAAACATTGTCCTGTTTCTCTAGAAGGAAAGAGGGTGCAAAGAAAAGAGTATTAAGTGTTGGGGTCCAGTCTGCCCTACCAGCCAACTCTGATCAATTCTACCCTGGTTCACCCAGTGATAAATCCACAAAGCCTTGTTTACACACTTCACTTAAAACCTGAAGGACAGGGGTCATTGCAGGTATTAATAACAGTTCTGAGGATTCTGACAGCAGTGACATTTTAGAGAAAGAAATGCCAGGGCACACATCGAAGAGATCAACATTCGATACTGGGCGTTGCTGGCAGCATTCAAGCACTAACCATTCCATTTCTGTTTTCCTTCTACCGCAGGTATTTTTTTGAGATTGGTTAGTATCTCTTTATCATCGGATCTACCTGGGCTTTGCTTGTTAATAACTCCCTCATCATTATGGGGACCACATCAGGGTTATTTAAATACTTGAAACGAGGAACGATTAAAGCCTCTGCTGAAACTTTAGTCCAGTGGAAAGTATCGGGTTACTCCCCCAGTAACATACTCCGCTGCACAGTCAGGTGAAGATTGTCTCCGTCCAGGCTTCAGGATGTGGTTGTAGTAAACATGGGCCGAGGAAGCAGGTGCTGAGGGAGGACAGGAGATGAACTTGAAATCTTGAAATGATGCAATTGGAGGAGCTGACCTTGGAGCAGAGCACTGCCCAGTGGAAGATGTCGAAAACCCCCGCTGTCGCCCAGAGACCTCGGGGATGACCTGCACCCACTAGCATGCCTGGATGGTTCAAAAAGACATGGTATGGGCTGGCGTCTGTACTCAGCTTCTCCTCCTTCATCCTCATCATCATCGCCCTGGCAGTGCCCCACTGGCTGAGTGGGAAAATCCTTTGTCAGACTGGAGTGGATCTGGTCAATGCCACGGACCTGGAGCTGGTCAAGTTCATTGGCGACATCTACTACGGGCTCTTCCGAGGGTGTAAGGTTCGGCAGTGCGGGCTCGGGGGCCGCCAGTCCCAGTTCACAAGTGAGTATACTGGAGACACAGGGGCTGATTTAGATGCCTTTTTTTGTTTAAATTTGTAAAAGGGCTTATGTCTAAATGTGGAATTCAACTGCTGCCTGAATTATAGGCACATCCAGGCCCTGGGTTCTTGTTCAGTTCTGGAAAGAGACATTTCCTCCTTTCTTTCTTCCCATTTCTAGAGAGGTTTATAGAAACATTTAGATATAGGGATTCATATATTTTGGTAGTTTACCTCTATTTATAATGACTATTAAAATATCGATGCTTCCATGCGTCAGGCATTCCACTAAGGGCTTCCTATGACATGTCCCTTTAAAGCCTTACAACTAACTTACTAAGAAGTTTGAGGTTAAGATTCCTGATTTGATTAAGGTTCCTGATTTGCAGAGGGGTGCAAAACAGGAGAGGCTTGGAGAGGTGACATAACTTGCCTGAGGTCACCCAGACTACAGACTCACACCATTCCTTTTGTGTGTGTATGTGAGATACAGTCTCATTCTGTCACCCTGGGTACAGTGCTGTGGCATCATAGCTCACAGCAACCTCAGACACTTGGGCTCAAGAGATCCTCTTACCTCACACTCCCAAGTAGCTGGGACTACAAGTGCTCGCAGCAATGCCTTGCTAGTGTTTCTATTTTTAGTAGAGACCAGGTCTTGCTCTTGCTCAGAGTGGTCTCCAATTCCTGACTTCACGCAATCCACCTGCCTCCACCTCCCAGACTGCTAAGATTCCAGGTGTGAGCCACCGTGC